TAAAATAATAAATTGGAATAATTTTGTGTAAATGAGAAAAAAATACTTCAATCTTTTGAGTATTTGAGTAACCACGAATAAAATGAAGAGCTATGTGACTCCAGACTGGAGTATTGTTGAATAAATTGTTTTAGTTTCTTACCTACACCATTACATTTTGTAGAGTAATGAATAAAAATTCGCATAATTAATTAAACTTTTGTTAATAATTAAATTTATGAATATTAAAAAAAAATTACATAACTAAATTTAATATAAAAAATTTAAATTAATTTTAACGTGTTTTTATACGTAATGTGAATTTAATAAAAAATTTAATTTAAATTTTATAGAAATTTATTTATTTTTTTTCCTAATTATTGAATGCATTTATAACGCGTTAATTGAATTATTAAATTAATATAGTCATTGTTTAAAATTATTTTTAACTTTTTTAATATTTAATTAATGAAATTGAATCAGGTTTTGCTGGATAATGCTCTTAATTTTATTTAATTTTCGTACTACTGAACTAATAGTAATTTAATATACTTAAATTATGCTATAAAATAAAGTACCTATACAGTAAGAGTATAGGTTTTATCCGAGCATAAGGTTGTTTATTTTCTACATTTCTGCAATTATTATTCATGAATACCACGTTAAACAAGTAAATATTAACTATACCTTGTAAAAGTGCATAGAACATAACGCCTTTAATATAGTATTCTGAAAATATATCTTCAAAATGAAATTGAATATTTGAAATAAATTCGACGGTTCCGCTATTTTTATTTCAGGAAAAAAATGAGATTATGCTTAATTTTCTTGTGAAGCATATAAAAACTTTGAAATTTTCACAACATTAATATAGTCCATAAAATTTTTCTAAAATTTGAGAAACCACCCGATACTTGTAAGACTATTTCGATAAATTTCATTTCACAATAAAAATACATTAAAATGAATCTTTTAGTTTTAAGATTTACATGCGAATTTTAAACGCAGGATTCAAAATTTTCTTCAAATTGCTTCAGTGTCCAAAAAGTTTTTATTTGTGAATGTGATATATAAAAAAATATAGGACTCAACGCTCTGGTTCGAGCAGGAAATGTATATAAAGTGATATTATTTTTCGAGTAATTATTAAAATTAAAATCAATTGGCAAAAATTAAATACATTTATGACTTTCCCAAAAAAATAAATATTCAATTTTCGTAGTTGTCGGTTTTATTTGCTTACACATCTGCCGTTTATCAGCGTTTGTCAATCTAAGTTACAATCAAAGGAATAGTTAGTACCATAATTTAAAATTGAATTTTGAAAACTGAAAGAATAAAATTTGCCTGTTTTTTACCACTTCTTCCTAAAAGAAAAAATGGGAGTTCTAACTAGTCTGGCTCTGTCGATCGATTTGTATTTATAAAAAACTTTTACTTATTTAGAAACTTATTATTGCAGAAAAAAACTTCTACTTATCTTCACACTCTTTAAAAGTTAAAGCATTTTGAAAACCTAAAAATGCCACTTTTTTCACAATTATTTTTTGTATCAAAACAAGAAATATTTTTAATTCGCAAACACAAAAAAAGTTCTCCCTGGCTTATAGCGAAATAGTATAATCAAAATTTTGAGTGACAAAATGTTCGTTGAAATAAACAGTTATCTTACACTCCTTTTTTTCTCAAATTTTTGAAATCGCTTTGCTCCTAGAAACGGTTAGTTGCAGAAGTCTAAAATTCATTCCATCAAAAATGTAATTATCTACCTCAGTTCACTTCAGCGTCGATTTCGACAATTTTGCTAAAGCCTCTTTCAATTTAATTACCCCTGTCCTAAATATATGCAATTTTTAGATATATTTGGGTATTTGGATATGTTTGGGCTATTTTACAATCCTTTAGTTTGATCCTAGTTTATTTCAAATATTTTTAAATTATACAATCAAATTATAAAAGAAAACAATTTAATTAAAAATGCCGAACCAAATATATGTATAAATGTGACTCATTCGAACTCTCTCTAACTCTCTTGTTATAAAATCAATAATTAAAAAGAATTCAATCATAAATTAGAATAAAATTATTTTACAAATAAAATTACCATTCATCTAAAATATGTAATTTACTTCGAAACTAATTTAAATAAAGAAAAGCACAAAATCTAAGAATAATTTAAATTGTAATTAAAATTATTTTTTCAAATAATAATTCACAAGAAATACGTCTGTCAATATTTAGAAAAGTTATCAGAAGTATTCCGTCCCATAAATACTTTAAGTATCTTTTAATTAAAATGAAAATCATTTTTTTTTTTTTTATTTTCCCAATTAGTGGAAAATATAAACTTCGGAAACTTTACTTTCTTGTGATTACTTGACAAAACAAAATTCATGTTTCTTTTTTTCTCCCTTTTTGTTTTTATTTTTACAGAAAAAATCGAAAAAAAAAAATCAAATCAATGAAATTTTCCCATTTTCTTTCAAATTATAATTTTAAGAAATTATTTATGTTGCTATACTGCAGTTCAATAATGAATTATTTTTCAATAACAATTGGATTGCAAGTAAGGGAATTTTCAGTTTCATAGTATTACAGTTAGAGAAAATTCGATACATGTATATACACAAACATACTTACTCTACTCATATAAGAAAACAAAATCTAGATTTGTGGTTTTAGTAGAAAACTAAAAATAAAATTTATTTAATACTATATCTCTCACTTTCTATATCTATCACTTTCACACAAAATTTTTTTAAGTTTATTTGGAAAACAAAATAAGTAAACAAAATTTTTACATAAATACTTTGTTAATTTTTACATAACCATGATTTTATTAAAAATACAATGACACCGACATACACAGATAAATGTGTACATAACGTAGATAGGTATGTTATAAGGCAACATGTAGGTAAGACATAGATACATACATATTAAATGTATGCAAAGGTAATATTTATAGCAAGTAACTTAATGCTAAACACAGTACTTTTAAATATTTTTTAAACTTAAAAAAAGCACGACAATATGCAGTTGATCATGTCAACTCTGTAATATCAGTACAAATAAATGATATTAAATTTTAGAGATAATTGACATACAGTTTTATACAACTCTTGCTTTTTAACGCAAAGACTGTCAAAATCAATAGGAATTTTAATAGTAAGATATCCCAAGGTTAAAGCCAAACAATTATTCATTCATATATTGTATTTGTTGTACAAGCATCTTATGCACGTCTTTTGTATAAGTAGCCTAAAAGCTTCCAATTTTATTATTCTTTGCTTTTTCCATAAATTACTCAAATCATTTACTTATATTTAAAAATGTTTAATTAGTTTAAATATAAAGACAGCCTTCTTTGACATTCATCATACCACATGTTTTAAAATATCGCATGTTACAAAAAACAAGCTATTTAAAAAATCTTCGCTGTGGTTACAAACTGTTATACAAAAATTGTAATCTTTTTATGTTATTAAAATTGCTGTGCAATCTCATTAATTTCATCAATAAAATTTACGACTTTAGGTATTAGTATGTGCATGTTATGTCCAAAAGGTTAGGAATCTCAAAATAAAATTTTAAAATAATTTACTTACAATAAATAAAATTCTCAAAGGATTCACTTCATTGAAATTTCTTTGTATGTACAAATTTAAAAATTCTTAATATAAGAAAGAATAATTTATAAAAAAATTCTAAAAATAATAACAAATAAAGTAATAAAAATAAACAATTGGGAATCAAGTAATCTAAAAATTATTCCCTAGTTGAAAATGTTGCAATATTTCTTTAAAACATGCACCATATTTTATGAAAAATTTCCATCGGTTGTAAGACATTTTCGAGTAAAATGTAAAATTTAAAGAACTATAGTACAAATACAAAATTAGAGATTTGAGTAAATAAATTTTTGCAAAAATTTTATGTTTCGAAACATAACAACTACTTGAAATGTTTAATTTTAACCTTTTAATTAAAGCCCTGTAATAATAACTTATTCAACTTATTACGTAATTAAAGAATTAGCCAAGAAATTTTGACAATTCGGCAGTTTAATATTATTTATGGCGAATTCCGCCAAATTTTGCGGATTCAAGAAAAAATCTGGCGAATGAAAAAATGATGTGCGAAAAGTGCGATTTTGTGAACAGTTTCGAAATTTTATTGCGATAGTTTACTTTAAAATATTGCCAAAATTTGTTCAACACTGCCATTGAGTTAAAAAATGAATTAAGAAGAAATCCATTCGCCATACACATTGTTAAATGCTAACTTGATAACTTGACTTACATAAGAAACCTGTAAATTTAAATAAACATACGGACAAACGCTGTTTTCATCTATCAAAATCACATTCTCCAAATTGCACAGAGAAATCCCCTTTTGTAGTAAAAATAAATAATTTATGCAAGAAGCCAATTTTTTAATTAAACTATAAATAATGGAAGAAGCTTACTTTGTTGTGTAGATAAAGATCCACAATATTTAAAATTCACAATTTCATACATTCCGAGAAAAAAACAAATGTAAACTTGTAAATTAACTTGAGAATTAACATAAAATTTAAGTTGTAGGGTCCTTATTCTTGTGTGTGTATAAAAATTTATAAATTTTACAAATATTTGTATAAAATAAAACTTAAATTTATATACTTAATTAAATATTGAAATTTCCAATAAAAAAAAAAATAAAATAGTGAAAATAAAAACATAATTTATCAGAAAAAAATCAAAAAACATCACTTTAAGAATAAATTCCTAAATTGAAAAATCAACAAAAGATTAATGAATTCAAATTAAAAATTTGAATAAATCCTATAAATAATGTGCTGAACTTTATACACAAATACATAAAATAAGTAATAAACCACTAAAATAAGAAATAAAAACAATAAAAACAAAATTTCAATTTAACCTAATCAATTCTATGTATTGAGTATATAAAAATTATATAACAATTTTATAAGGACTCTTAATATTGTTGTATGTGCTTTATGAATGTATATTTGTGTATATAAATAACAAAAATGGAACGTAATATTAAGGAACGTCGTTCATTAAGACGTTTTATGCCAGTAATTTTATTATCAACTCGAAAAATATCACAACACCAATATAATAATGTAAAAATTTTAAATGAAACAACAAAAACAACAGCAACAAATTCAATAAAATCATCCTTAAATAGCAATTTTAGGCGTTCACGATCTGTACGTGCTTCCTTACGTTTACTAAAAGAGAAAATTAATATCAGCAACATGAACAACAATAACAACAACAATAACAATATAAATAACTATAACAATAATAACAATGATAATGAATTCAATTATTCAACATTTGTTATAGAAGATCCTTATAATAAAAATGGAAAAAATCAATTCGAAAAGGATATTATGTTTAATATGGAAAAAACTTTATATAAAAATCAACAACAATTAGAACTATTGAAAAGGAAAGAAAATCAAAAAAATAATCAATTATTGAAATTGAGTCAAAGCTGTGAAAAATTGCCATTAAATAAAACTAATAGCAATTCTAAACATTTCTACAATACAATTTGGGATCGTTTGAAAAAAACACCAACAAAAAGCCATCATTCGTTATCAATATCCTCCATAGAAAGTACATATAACATAAAAAATAAATTAGAAAGCTCAAATCTATTTGAAACCAATTCAATATCAACTGATTCAATAATAATTATACCATCGATGACACCACAATCACCATTATCATCTCCATTATTAGATTCACCAGCACAATTAAATTGTTCTAAAACAGAAGCTATTAAAATTAATAATAATAGATTAAAAATGTCCTTAAATAAATGTAGTGACAATAAATTATTGAAAATACCATTATTAAATAATGTGAATTTCTTAGATGATGACGATAATAATCATGATGCAAATGAAAGTTTTCATAATATTTCTGAAAATGAAATTAATGCTCAAGTTATCGAAATATTAGAACCAAAAGATTTTAATGATTCAATTAGTTCCCAAGAACAATATGTTACCGTTAATGATGAAATTTCTTCATTAAATCATGAAATTAATACAAGTAAAGAATATTTAAATGATATTAATAAAAACGGTTGTGACAGTGAATGGAATTCATTAAATATTTGTAATCAAAATTTGGGAATTCAAAATATGAAAACAGCTACCATAAGGAAAAATTCAGTATGGGCAAATGGTAACAAAGAAAGTAAGAAATATCGTTTTTTTTTTTTGTTAAAAATTTTTTATTTCATTCTTTATAAATTTAATATTTTATTGGTAAATCGTGTGCCCGACTATATTAAACCCTTTGTGTGCTAAACTCTAACGCTCTTTATAATAGAAACCATTATTTTGAGCACATGAATAAAAATTTACCATCAGGCGAAAAATGTTCTATACCTAATTGTGCTTTTCTGCGGAAAGTATCGCTAAAATTTCCAAAAATTTCATTATTAACAACAATATCGTAATAAAACTACAATTATTTTTATAGCAATATCATAGATAAATATCACATCATTATGATAACATTAAAACTAAGCTTTATTTGAACAATTCCGACAAATTGTACACGAATCTGAAATTCTAGCCTTCTAAAAGCGTACACATGCAATATTCATTCTATAACAATAAAGTTTCTTTTAATCTAATTTCCCTTCGACATTTCAATTTATCCATTTTTCAAATTTATTAAAATTTTATTTTCCGTATAAATATTTTTTTTTTTTTAATTTTTATAAGTTTGTTCCTACTCCTAAATGTATGCAATTCGTAACTATTAGAACAACTAATTTTTCAAAAACTTCTTTTTTCTATAATATTCTTTTTTTTAGACTCTTGTATCTCTATTTAATTTAGTTAATCGATTGTTACAAGTGCAATTTTCAATATAAATCAATTCAAAGAGAAAAAAAAATTTCAGAAAAGAGAAGGTTCAAAATGTTTTCAGCAATTCAATAAAATTTGTGTTAATTTATTGTCTTACTTTTGAAATGAGGAAGGCGAACTCATTTTATGAGCTGTTATTCCGTTTCGTTATATTATAGTTATACCGCTTCTGCTATAAATATAGCAGAAGCGGTATAACTATAAAGTGATGGCTATAAATTATTATACTGTTTCACATCACTCTTGGAACTTTTACGCTTCTACGATTCTCCTTATTCTAAATGAATTTTCATTTTATCACTAATTTGGAGTAATGGAACACATTTAATAACTTTTAATAAAAATTTAAATTGTTAAATTTGCCAATAGATCTTAAATATGCTTACATATATATATATACGTATGCAAATATATATAAAATTTTACCTTAGCAAATTTTATAAAAGAAAAATTTTTCAAATTATTAAAAGTCCTAAAAATTGGTACAATAATTTGAAAAACCGTAAATAAATTAATATTAACAGGGATATCTATCCCAAAATCGCCCTTCGAACAAAAAAAATTAATTGAATTTTTTTTTTCTGTGCTTTTCTAGGAATAGAAGGGTTGAAAAACACTTCTTGAAATATTGTTCAAAGTTATAGTTATTTACATATTTTGTGGTTTACAATTTAACGAAAAAATAAAACCTTGACCGTAGCAGACCTTAAGCTAAAAAAAAAACAAGATTTATGCAAATTTAAAGTAAAATTTTCTAAAGTTAATTAAAGATCATTATGGAAAAGAATTCGATAATTGCGAAATAGGGAAAAATAATGGAATAATTTTAATAAATTTTAATAAATATTTTTATTTACCGTAAAAAATAAAAGTATTCTACGCTATTTAATTACACGATATTATTATAATAAATATACATATAGATAAAGGAAAGCTATGGAAATTCTTCACTTGAATAATTTAAAAAAAAAAAAAGATAAACAAATTTTGTTTTTCACAAAATGGGAAAAATAAATTTGTCCATAAGATTTTAATTAAAAATTGAAATTAAGTGAAAATAAATTCGATTACTATAAATGAATTGTTTACATTTTGTATGTAAATATGTATGTGTATCTGATATCTGAAATTATCAGAAAATAATTAAATTAAAAAAAAAACAATTACTTGTAAAATTTTATACAAAAAAATTAATTATAAATCAACACGTTACCAGAAATGGTAATTAAATTGGAATTTCAGAATGAATAAGTGAAAGCAAACTGCTAAAAAAAAAACTATTTTATGAACTCATGAAAATCTTAAAATTTATAATATCGTATTTGATGCTTTTTATCAGTTTTCGAAAACATTTTGAAAAATTATGTTCATCACTCTCTTTGTTGTTCTTTTCACTCTATATTCTATAGTTTTTCTTTAGTGAAGAAGTAATTAAAAAAAAAAAAATTTAATTATTCCTCTTCCATCTAGCCCCACCCCCCCCCCCCCCCCCCATTCCATCTTAAAATTACCAATTAAAAGCTATTTGAAACTTTGGGTGAAGACGATATCAGAATGATCAAACTATTTCTGGTACCAGAAAAACTCGTAAATAAATGCTAAGATGCTCAAATCAACTTTCAGATTAGCCGTCAAGTTAAAAGGTTTTTTCTTTAATTTTTGAAAAAATTATACTCTTCCAAACAGCAATATTGAACTGTCTTGAATTTTAAATATTTTAAATATTTTATAGAAATATCGTATACAAATTTTCTTTATGCTTCCTTTTTCTTCTAAGTTTTCATAACTTGGAAAAAAAATTTGAAAACTGCTTGTTTCAAGCTACATTTTCTACTTCTTTGATATAATTACCTTTATCCAGATTCTGTTAAAGCAAAAATGAATCTAACATTAATAATTCAGTTTCTAGCTCAAAAATATGCTGTTATCCCTAAAGTAAGTTAATTTTTTAGTAACCTTGTTCAATATTTATGATAGTAGACTTTGTTTTAAAAATTTAAGATTTTTTTTTGCTAATTTAAGAAATGATAATAAGCCAATTAAATAAATGGAAATGCAATACTTTGCAAATTCATAAATCAACCCCATTCTTTTCCTTCGTAACTAATTTCCGATCTATATTGTTCATATAAAATTCAGAGTATTCATTAAATATCTTTAAGAAAATCTTTTCTAATTTATAGTAATTATGCTAGATATTTGGAATTGTAAAAAGAATTTGTTTGTAGGAAATGACGCTGAATTAAAAGAAGCGATTTTCATTTACAAATAAAATTGCTTATCTCTTATGAAGGATGAATTCGGGGAAAATATATGGTGACTTTGGAAATAGTAATTAAACATGAGTAAACATTAAACATTAACTTTATTTAAGTCTAAAATTTCCTTTTAAACTAAATTTAATATTTTACGTAAAACACGCGTATTTTTACCGAAGACCCTTGCCAATATTTGATTTATAGTCACTATAGAATGAGCACTTTAACTCACTTATATTTTTTATACAAAAAAATATCAAAAATTTTTTCTTTTCATATCTCAATTAAATTCAATATTGTATTTAAAATTTAATCCTTAAATTAAGAATAATCATATTTAATTTTTTTATATTCGCTTTACACAATTCTTTGAATCAGGAACTTCAAAGTAACTTGCTGCATAATATCCTTTTAAAAATCATGAACTTTTGTGTACGTTTTTATTTTTAATAAGAAATTTTTTTCTTTTTCCTTTGAATTGCTGAAGTAAATAAAATTTTATTTCAAAAAGAATATTTACTTTTAATTTTATTTTATTTTTGTTTTATTTTCTTATTGTTTTTGTTTTCTATTGTATATAATATTAACATTTCATCATTTTATGTATGGAAATTTCACCTCAGGCTAAAATAAATCTTTACTGGTAGATTTGATGAAATATTATATTCCACATATTTACATAATTTTTATTGTTTAAGTTTTGAAAATTTCCAATTAAAAGAAATAAAAATTATAATTTATAAAATTTTCGAATATTTTTTACTTAAAAAATTGAAAAGAATATTCAATTAAGACAAGACAACAACGAGCACAATTAATGTACATAATGCCTCAAGTTTCAATAATTTCATACAGTATTTGATTTTCGACAACAATGACAACAATTAATATCCGACTGCAATTCATTCTTTTTGATTAAATTCTCTGATATATAAGAGTTTAAGCCGTTTACATCACACGAGAAACCGTAATCCCATATTCGAAATTAGAAATTTTATTTGTACTAAAAATAATTTTTTGGTATAAAGTGGCAAATATTTTAAGGGACGATTATTTGATCAATTTCCAGCAAAACATCGTGGGGGGGATGGTGAAAATATGATGGTTCTCGAACTACAGTCTGTTGAAAAAAAAAGTTAACAGATTTTTCCTGCATATAAATAAACAGGTATAACTTCAAAGCTACACAACATAAAGTAACCACTAGTATTACTTGTTTTACATGTAGTTGATTACTCTTTATTTGCGGTCTCACAATCAATTTGGTGTGAGCCATATCAAATGAATCTTCGAGATAAAGTTCGTTAATGTCAGAGTTTTCGTTTCTTTTTGATTTTTTTTCAAAAAAAACTCGAAATTTCTCGAAAATTTGTGGTTTTGTTTAGTTTTTTTTGATGCACAGCCAAAAAATTACCCATATAACATTTTTCTCTATCTCCCATAGCTTGGTCAGTAAAACGTGTTAAATGTGTGAAGGCATGCGAAAAATGCATCCTTATTACACACAGTAAACTAAAAATATTAAGTCTGCGTTATGTTTTATTACCTAAATCTCGATTGCTATTGCTCAATATTTAGAACTCAACTAATTTAATATTTTTCTTGTAATTACTAAAAGCTTTTTGAAGTTCTTCATTTGTATTTGGATCCAACATGGAAGAAATTCAAATATCTAACAGAACATACGTTTTGACCCGCTTTATTAAACGGTGTAAATGAAAATTCTCTTTTTAACCATAGGTAGGGTCACAGATAAAGATTAAAACAGTTCAAATGAAAATTCTTCTTTTTTGAATAGCCAAAGAAAGGTATTTGATTTTTCTTCTTAAACAAACTACTTCAATTAATAACAAATAATGGTAAAGCATTATTAGGGAACTAGAATGCTGCGTTGATATCTTAAAAACATGCAAAAATATGCCTGCAGTGTAAATAGCCTCTGCTCTTATAGTTACAGGTTTTACGTAAGTATTTTGACAATTCTTAAATTACTGCGTCCGTTTAATACTTATACATTTGCCATATCGACGACAAATTTCAAAAGGAAACTTGAAATTTT